AAATTATTCTGCATTCCGTCGTAAGATATGATACATCGGCACGGTGTTTGCACAGATCTTTCAAACTTCCAAACTACAGTAATCCAAAAGCTAGAAAATCGATTTTCGTGTAGGCAATTTTCAGTCATTTTCAGCCTATTTTTAATGAATTTCGGGTCACTTTCAGCTTATTTTCAAGCCATTTCGGTCATTTTTGGGACCATTCTAAGCTCTACCTTTTCTGACAGAAACAGAACTTTTAAAGTCTAAAAAGAAGGATCGATTTTCACAAAAACTCGGCTTAAAACCCTACCTTTCAACGACGCCGACAAGTTGCCCATCATTAGGAACGCGGTAAGCGTTGAATCGAAAACGAACGCGGCTCTATTCACGTTTCCAGCGTTTCCAGACAAGTCAGAAGACGTTTGGGACGTGGAGAGGGACTGGAACGACATCACAGACTCATTTATCGATTCGTTTGGAGACGATGCTCGCAGCGCCGCCGCGTCTTCTGAAGTCTCGTCAGTCTCATCGTCGTCTCCACGGAGAAGCGTTCGTGTCAGCTCGTTCATCTCGTCAGAGGTGTTGGTGATAAGGCTTCTGGAATGATAAAATGATGAGAAACCCGGGAACGACACCCATTTTAAGCCTATTTTGGTCAATTTTAAGCAAATTGTTACTCTTTTTAAGCCTATTCTGACCTATTTCACGCCATTTTTGACATTGTTTAAGCAGCCTATTCAGACTCATTTTAAGCCTGTTTTGACCCATTTTAAGCCTGATTTTGTCCATTTTCAGTCATTTTTGACCCGTTTTTAGTCATTTTGACCCATTCTACGCCTATTTTAGTCCATTTTCAGTCTTTGTTAACCCATTTTAGGCCGGTGCTGATACATTTTAAGCCTATTTTTGACCCATTTTAAGCGTACTCACGACATCGGCGACACTGGCGATTGTGGAGTGGTTACTGTAGAATTGGATGTCCAAGAGGTGTGAATGGTCAGATTCTCGGCGCCAGTGACCCTCTTCCTAGCGAATCCAAGCCGGCAAAACAGGGAAATCGCGTTTTTGACCAACTGCAAGTCGATGTGAAGGATTTGGGACATCTGGAATTTTGAAGAAAATTATTTTTCTGGAATTTTTCTGAAATAAAAAATAAATAAAGTTTTCAAAATTTTTATAAAAATTTCTGGAATTTTCTGGAATTTTCATATCAAAAATTTGTAATTCTTTTGGAATTTTTAGAAATTAATTTTCCGAATTTTTTTTTCCAAATTTTCTAGAATTTCTAAAACCAAAATTTCCAATTTTTCACCTCCAGAACCGTCGTCTGATCATCAATAGCGACGAAAATCTTATAGAGAAGCGTCTCGAAATAGTCTCCTAGCACTCGATTCATCACGAATCCATCGAGCGGTGCCACGTAGATGTAGTCGTTGTCCTCCACTGGCACATCGAAATAGATGAGGCCTCTATCGTATAGTGACGTCACCACAGAATACTTCAGAAGGCCAGCTGGAATCGAAGAGTTGGCATCTAGAAGACGATCGATCACTTGTTTCTCCTCCTCGTTGACTAGCTGGAATTTTTTTATTTAAAAAAGGCTTGAAACGGCTTCAAAATGCTCAAAAATAGCTCAAAACAGCTAAAAAATCCCTCTAAAATTGCTCAAAATAGTTTTTAAAAAATTGCCACCGGTGGGAGTTGAACCTGAGATTCCTAGATTGGAATTTTTTTCGGCCATTTTATGCCGATTTTTGGGCTATTTTTAGAGCTTTTTAGAGCTATTTTTGAGTTATTTCTAGCTATTTTAGAAAATTTAAAGCCTTTTCAGAGTTTTTTGAGCTTTTTGGTCTATTTTTAGGTCATTTTCAAGGTTTCTAGAGCTATTTTTAGGCTATTTTAGGCTTGACGAGCAGCTAATTTTAGCAAATTTTTAGCTATTTTTGAGTCATTTTTAGAGCTTATTCTGACAAATTTTCTGCTATTTCTATTTTGCTTTTTTGGCTATTTTGAGCTATTTCTAGCTATTTTCGAGCTATTTTTGAGCTATTTTTAAGCTATTTTTAAGCCATTTTTAGGCAATTCTTGAGTCCTTTTGGGTTTATTTCGAGTGATTTTTAAGCTATTTTGAACTGTTTTCATGATTTTAAAGCTATTTTTGAGCTCATTTTCGAGCTATTTCTGACTATTTTATGTCCATTCCGGGCCTATTTTAGAGCTATTCTTGAGCTATTTTGGACCTATTTTAGGCTATTTTAGAGCTATTTTGAGCACATTTCTAACTAATTAAGGTCTATTTTTAACTATTTTTAAGCTATTTTAAAGCTATTTTTGGGCTATTTTAAATCTATTTTGAGCCCATTTCTAACTATTTTAAAGGTCTATTTTGAGCTATTTTTAGCTATTTTTAGAGATTTTCAGAGCTGTTTTTGAGTCATTTTTGGAGCTTATTCTGACAAATTTTGAGTTGTTTTTAGACCTTTTTTTATCTATTTTGATGATTTTAGAGCTATTTTAAAGCTATTTCTGAGCTGTTTTGGGCCTATTCCGTGCTATTTTTCAGCTATTTTTGAGCTTGGTGCTCACTAACGTGTTTTAGGCTTATTTCAAGATTTTTGAGCTATTTTTGAGCTTCTTTTAAGCTGTTTTAGGTCTATTTTAGGGCTATTCTGTGTCTATTTTAAGCTGTTTTTGAGTAATTTTCGAGCTATTTCTGATTATTTTATGTCTATCCCGGGCCTATTTTGAACTGTTTTTGAGCTAGTTTAGGCTGTTTTCCTGATTTTTAAAGCTATTTTCATGAATTTTTGAGCTATTTCTAGCTATTTTTGACTATTTTAGGTCTATTTCAGGGGTATTTTGAGCTATTTTGCTCACTTTCATATCACTCTCGAGAATGGCTCCAACATGAGTCATCCACCAGGACTCTATCACTAATTTTGCCGGTTTCTGGGGTAGCAGCTCTCTCGGCGTCTTGCTCCGTCTCAAAAACTTCCGATTGGATCTAGTCTGGTTCATCAAATCGATATATTGGTTCCGTCCGATTCCCAGGAGTCGAACGGCATCGGCTGCTGTGAAATTCGGAAGGGAATCGTACGATTTTTCGGTATTTAGCATTTCCTGGAAATTCCAATTTCTGGATTTTTCTGAAAAAAAACTAAGCTTACCGCCAGAATATTCGCATAATAGCTAAACGGAGACAGCCGCATTTCGGTGACAGTGATATCTGATAAGTGATAGGGGTAGAGCATCAAATGGGTCTCGGAGAAGCGCAATAGCTGGTCGTAATACGCCTCCTCGCTCTTTTTCACATGTCTCACTGAAAAAATCAGCTTTCTTTTGCTAGAAAAACCCTAAAAATTACCCAGATTTCCCTTATATCTCAGCTGATTTTGTATGGAATACTCTAGCACTCGTTTCTCGTACTCTTTCGACGAATTTCCCAGGATAACTTTAATGTCAGCGGATAGATTGGTCCATGGGATGTTTTCTCGAATACAATCATCAATTTCCATAGCGAAAATTCCAGAAAATTTGGCTTAAAATGAGCCAATTTCAGCCAATTTCCATACAAGGAGCTGTGGCGTGGCGCTTGAGCAAATATCGCGCATTGGCCGCAAACACCGCGGCGGCAAAATGCAGACGCAGTGGAAAATTGAATTTTAATTTGGGGGGAAACTTTAAATTTCAAGTTTTCCAGCCTCCAAAAATGTCGGCTGAGCAGTTTTTCAGCATGTTTAACAAGCAGAAGAAGCGCGTAGAAGTGATGCCGAGGTAAAAAAAAGGAATTTTGGCTTGAAAACGTTAAAAAGACCCGAAAATCCAAAGTTTCAAGCACTCAAAGTTCTAATAATCCGAAAATTTGAACTTCCAAATTACTTCTAATTTTCAAATTTTCGAAAAACTAAAAAATCCCAGATTTTCAAAACCTGAAAGTCCCAAAAATTCCGAAATTGGAAAATCTAAAAATCGAAAAGTCAAAATTTCGAAAAATCTTACAATTCGAAACTTCGAAATTTAAAAAAAACCCAAAAATCCCAAAGATTTCAAAAAACTCTAAAAATTCCGAAATTTTCAAAAACTTAAAATTCTGAAAATCCCTAAAATTCAACTAATCGAAATTCCAAAAAAATCCCAAAAACTCGAAATTTCAAGATTTTCGAAAATTCCGGAATTTACAAAAAATCTTGAAATTCTGAAAATTCCAAAAAAATTCGAATTTCTGAAATTCCAAAAACTCCGAAAATGCTAAAATTCCAAAAAATCCCAAAAACTCAAAAAATTCAAAATCTTAAAATTTCAAAAATTTTCAAAATTCAAAGTCCCGAAAAATCTAGGTCATGACCTAGAAAAATCTAGGAATATTCGAAAAACTCAAAATTCAAAAAAATTCGAATTTACAAAAATTCCGAAAATTTAAAAAAATTCAAATTCACAAATTTTTCGAAAACTTAAAAATCCAAAACTTGCAGCAATCGCCAACCGTTCCGAGTGGTCAAAGAAGACCCCGATAAGCCCCAAGATATCCCATCGGAACTCCAAAAAAGGGCTCGAAACAAGAAGCGAAAGCGGCTGGAAATCAAAAACGATCAGTACGAGCAGCTAATGATGCTAAGTGTCCCAGTGAGGTTCCCGAAAGGAATGAGCCTCTACCCAACACAGAAATTGATGATTGTCCGTATTCTGGCAGCACTCAAAAGCAGTCAAAATGTGCTTGGAGAGTCTCCGACGGGCAGTGGAAAGACAATGGCACTGCTATCATCGACTTGTGCCTGGTTGAATCAGTATATCGAGGAGAAGAAGAAGTCCAGGGAGAAGTGTCCGATTCATGGGTCCATGGGAGGAGTCAGAAAAGAAGAGTATGGGGAAGAGGAAGCGGAGGAGAACCAGTCAGAAGTCAAAGTAGAGGTCAAACAGGAGAACATTGCAGTCAAAACAGAGAAAAAGGATCTGTGTAAGAGATTTTTTTAGAAGGTCATGGCCTAGATTTCCGAAATAAGGTCATTTTTAGCCCCTAAAATCCAAGATTTTTCAGTTGAAGAGCAATGGAGAGACGATTTCATACCACATGGAGGCCCCGGACCATCGCTGAAATTCGAGATGGATTCTGTGAAAAAAGAGGAAAAGGTGGAAAATGCAGCCACAGACTGTACATGTATGCCGTAAGGGAGTTTTTGAATTTTTTGAAAAATTTGAAAATTCAAAATTTCGGAAAAATCGCGAAATTTGAATTTAAAAATGTGGAATATATTGAAATTCCATAGTCTTGGACTTTTGGATTTCCCTGAAATTTCGAAATTTTCGATTTTTTAAACTTTCTGAAATTTTTTGAGTTTTGAAAATGCTGAAACTATGATTTCCAGACGCGTCCGAATCTACTACGGTACCCGCACCCATAAGCAAATCGCTCAGGTCGTCAAGGAGTTTTCTCGCCTTCCATATGCCAATATTATCAAGTAAAATGCCAATTTTGGATATTTTAAAACCCATTATTCTGTAAAAATCCCCCTCAAAATGCTCATTTTAGCCTATTTTTCCCCTATTTTTCAGACAATTTCGGCCTAATTTTCTTTATTTTTTGCTCTAAAATCCCCCTAAAAATGCTATTTTCAAGCTTATTTTGCCCAATTTTCAGACTATTTCGGCCTAATTTTCCCCTATTTTTACTCCGAAATTCTTCTAAAAATGCTAATTTTAACCCGATTTTCCCATATTTCCAGACACACCATCCTCGCCAGCCGTGACCAATCGTGCATCAATCCGACCGCCCGTAAACAACCGGACATCTCGGGTTACTGTAAAGAGATCAACAGCGCGCATGGAGTAAGAACAATTTAAAGGCGCATGAGTGTGCTATGCGCCTTTAAAGTTCAAATTGAAAATTGGAAATTTTTCAGATCGGCTGTCAATTCAAGAATGCGATGAGACCACGGTTTGAGAAGGCGTCAATGCTGAGAAGTCATTTGATGGATCAGGTACGGTAGGTCTGCCCGGAGGCGATTTTAGGTATCAAATTTGGAATCTATGGGACCGATTACCCCTAATACAAAGTATCTCTCCCTCTCGCCCACTCTCTCTTCCTCTCTCCCTTGCAGACATGAGCGGAATAAAAATTTTGAAAATCCGGAATAAGGAATAAGAAAGAAGGAATGAAATTTAAAAATCAGGAATAAGGAATAAGGAATTCCGCTCATGTCTGCTCACTTGTCTACACTATTCTCTCCTCTCGGGTTGTTGCCCGCCTAGTCTAGTGGCTAGCGCGCTTGTCCGCCGCTCAGCTCTTTTTGGCCAGGTTTACCTTGTAAAAACCCACAAAACCCCCATTTTTCTCTTCAGGGAACCATGGTATTCGATATGGAGGAGATCGTGGAGACGCTAGCCCTCGCCTACCCCCAAATCTGTCCCTACTTCTCCACAAATCGCATCCTCACCCAAGACGCCGACCTCATCTTCTGCCCATTCTCCTATCTCGTCGATCCCCTGATACGAAACTCGTCAGATGTCCATGTCAAGAACTCTGTAGTGATTCTAGATGAAGCACACAACATCGAGGACACTTGTCGAGAAGCTGCGAGTTTCACTTTCACCGAGAAGGAGCTGGATGACTCATTGCTCAGCTTTAGACTGAAAAGAGTCGCAATCGATAACATCACCTCTAATAAAAGTGCAGAGGAAGCCTTTGCAGATGTCCCAGATGCTAGTATTCATATGAAGGAATTCAAGGGACATCTCATGTATCTAGAACATCTAACACTGGAAATCCTTCGATGGGTACGCCACGTGGCAGAGGAAGCCAGAACGCCGCCTAAATCTAGGCAGGAGGGGCTGAAGACGTGTACACTGTCTTCAGAGACACTGTTCTCCTCACTGACTAATGCAGAGATTGGAGTGGATTTGTTTGCACCGCCCAACACGCCAAAGCATAACGCGATTGCTGTAAGTGTGGCGAAAATTTTAGAAATTCCGAAAAAATCCAAAAACTCAATTTTGGAATTTTTGAGATTTCACAGTTTTTGGAATTTATCGCAAATTTGGATTTTTGAAAAAGTTTCAAAACATTTCAAAAATTTGAAATTCGGTATTCTGAGACTCCGAAAATTCCAAAAATTCAAGCATTTCGAATTTTTGGTTTTTTTTTTGAAAATTTTAAAAATTGAAATTTCAAACAAATGCAAAAATCGATTTTGGATTTTTTTTAATTTTGGGGATTTTGGGGATTTTTGAGCTTTTTCAGGAATTTTTCAAAAATTCGGAAAAATCCAAAATTCCAAATATCTAAAAATTCCAAAAAGTTCCAAAAACCATTAAAATCCCAAAAACTCAATTTTTGCGATTTTTCGATTTTTTGAAAATTTTCCGGATTTTTTGGATTTTCGGATTTCTCAAATTTCAAAAAATCCGAAACACGAAAATTCAGAAACTCGGAAAAACCCAGTAACTCAATTTGGGACTTTTTGAAATTTTTAGTTTTTGAAATTTCGAAAATTCCGAAATTTCAAAAAATTCGAGATTTCGAAAATTTCAAAAATTCGATAAATTCCAAAAAATTTAATTCCCAGAAATTACAAAATTCTAAAAACTTGGAATTTCAAAAAAAATTTTAAAATCCAGTAATTTCCGAAATTCCGAAAAACTCGTTTTTTGGAATTTTTTAAAATTTCGGAATTTTGATTTCCTATAGGAATTTTCTGAATTTTTTGGAATCCCAAAAAATTGTGAACTTCAAAAATCGAAACATTCGAAAACAATTGAAGAATTCCAAATTTTCAAAAATTCAAATCCTGAAAATTCTAGAACTACAAAAATTCAAATTTCCAGACCTCATTCGGTGCGATCACCAAACAAAACGAGCCGGAAATGAAGGAGATGGATCAGTTCAAGCCCAGTGCCACTGCCATCGTTGTCATCGAGAAATGGCTCTATTTTCAGTCGTATTTCGGAAATCAACAGTATCGACCAACTTATAGGTATCTTTGGATCGATTTTGGAGGATTTTAGCACCTTCAGAACATCTAAAAACCACGTTTCGTCATTTTAAAGCCGCTTAAAACCTTTTGGAACCATCTAGAATGTTCTATAGCCAATTAGGATCATTTTGGACGATTTGAACACTTCAGAAGCTTCTAGAAGAGGTTTTAGCTGGTCCCGAGTTATTTAAAAATCATCTAGGACGTTTCGTAGCAAGTTAGGATCATTTTTGTTGATTAAAACAATCTCCAGAACCATTTTAGAGCTATTGAGACTGTTCTAGAACCATCTAGAATGCTCTATAACCAATTAGGATCAGTTTTTACTATTTGAACACTTCAGAAGGAGACTTTAGGGTAGATCCAGACGGCCCAGAATTTTTTTGAAACCTATCTAGGCTGTTCTAGAAGCATCTTGGACCAATTTTGACGATTTGACCACTTTGGAAGCTCTCAAAACAGATCAGGACGGTCGAGAACCATTATAAAACCATTCAGACTGTTCTAGAACCATTCTAGACGTTCTAAAACCGATATTTGCAGACTAAACGTCACTGTGGAACCCATCAACGCCCGCTTCAATTCCACATTTGACGGTGGGGACACTTCGATGGCGTCCACCTCGTTTTCTGGCACATCCCGAAGCTCAGCGGGTCCC